GCTTGTGACCCAGTTTAATCCCCACATCGGGTCAGGCAGAGTGCGTGTGTGTGTGTGTGTGTGTGTGTGCATGCAATTTAAAACCCTCGATTTTTGCGCTTTTTTTCTTGATCTTATCTGTCTTTTCTCCGCAGCCAATTCATCCGGCAAGTGGACTTCAGGGAGAAGGAGATTGATGAAGCTCTACGGCTGATGATGTCCCTCTTTCGCACACCAGTAAGTTCTCTGATTATTTGTTCTCTGTTCATTACTAATTTATATGATTTATATTTTAAGGTATATATATATATATATATATATATATATATATCACTATTTTGAGAATTCGCGACATTACTGGCTCATTGGTTATACCTCAATAGGGAAGGCAAAACGCATGAATCGAAAATAGGGTTACTAGCAGCTTGGATTAAGAGATGGGGGTTAGTATTTGTATTCACTACTAATCGAAGCTAATGTCTTGACCAATCTCATCACATGTAACCATCCTGTATATACCTATCACTGCTGTTGAATACTTATCGATAAAATCTCGTGATACGTGCTAACCGCGCAGGTGGGGAGAAATTAGGGCCAAAAAACGTAATCGCTACTGAAATACCTAGCTGCATGTGCAGTGGCCTTTTACCGCACCTTTTAAACACAGCATCGCTCCAAAGGCATCCGACATAGTGTCATACTAACCGGTCGCTTATGTATTCAGGGTTGGGAGATTTCTGATTTGCTTGCAAATGCCATATTCAACTGACAGGAATGTTCAACTCATATCCTTATCGTGGAGGAATAGTTATGCATATTACTCTTGATTGATTTGGATGTCCCTTAAAGAATTATCTAGTGTACAGCCAGAATAATGGGCTGGGTGTATGTCGAATAATAATTAGCTCTCCTTTCTATTTAACTTATTCATCAATCTTGATATGAGCTGGTGTTTTTACAATAGTGGTGTGAACGGTTGATTAATCGTTTTTGATTTTTTGCGTTTTAGGGTGAATCACAAAAGATCGTTCACCTAATGACAGCCTTCCAGTCCGCCTACGTTGAGCAGAACTTAACCCGGGTGAAGGCACAATTCCGCAATCCCGAATCAGTGATGATCCTTGCCTATGCGATAATTATGCTCCACACCGACATGTACAGTCCCAATGTCCGACCTGATTCCAAGATGTCTAGGGAGGATTTTGTGAACAATCTCAGGGGAATCGATGATGGTACGTTGTTAATTTTTTTCCATGTGCAAGTCTTCATCAGAATTGGCAAATATTTGGTTTAAGATTTTTTCATTGGCTGAATAACCTCACATGAAGTCCAAAAACTCGCGTACGTTCATATATGATAGAATACTACCGTTCTCAGGCAAGACGTAGTTATGTCCTTAATCCGGAAACACAATTTTAGCATGTGCATTTGTGTTGCTGCGTCTAGGTCCCAACCTGTTACATTTCGCACTTGCCGAATTAATTGGAATTGTCAAGGTGTAATTAGGTTGAACAAATGGCTACTAAAATTGGAAATCAGTAGCTTATCACTTATTATAACTAATGCAACGTACTGATGCCGAAATATTTTGCTTCCAACTTTTAAATTTAGAAGAAAGCAGACAAAATCATTAAAATGTTGCCTTCAAATTTGGAATTTGGCTTTGATGTAAATTTTTTCGCATTTATAAAATTCATTGAAGTCATCCCTACAGTTTGAAGATTTTTAACGACTTTTTCTGGTTACGAATGCTGGTCGATGGCTTCCTTATTCCTCTCCGAGTCCATTTTTATCTCTAACTAAGAAGGCTCCCACTTGACAAGGCAATATCTGTACACCATCTCAACAAAGCCAAATTCGATGTTCACTGTGGTGCGCCTTCGTTTACAGCCCAAATTTTCCGTTTTACCGCCGTAGTAACCCCAAATCCCATGAAAGCGTAATTGAATCCCCCTCTTAGGGTTTAAATTTTAACGACCTCTTCGTTTGCCCTCTACTTCTTGTCCTCACATGATGGCGTTAGTTTGCTGGTTGCTAGGATATGTCGGTCATCCCAAGGTACGCCGGATCGATTTACTGCACGCCGGTAATCGCCAAAATACTTCCTCGTTAAATGCGCGTTCCCATTGGAAGACTTAATTGTAATAGATAGGGATATATATTGTGTATTGAATGACTATAAGCAGAAGCGATTTGGGAAAAGCATCCGTTTTACTAATATCAATGTCGGTATAGCTTGCTAATTACCGCATAAGTTTCCAGGAGATGGCAGGGGGTCTGTGGCTGTTTTATTCTCTGAGATTGAACATATGATTTTTGCTCCTAATTTGCATAAATATCCCAACGAAAAACAGTTGTACCTATTTTGTACCTATTGCCTTCTGTGTGTGGGGGGGGGACAATAAAAGAAACTACTTTATTCTGCCTTCACTCAGGTTCATTTCTGTATTGATTACAACGGTTGAAATTCCAATTGGCCTATGACTAATATAGCTAACATATCGTTTATTCTCGATAGCGCTCTTCTGATTTCTCATGCAGGCGACTACATGGATTAAATTAATTTTAATTAACTCTCTAGGGCACCTAGGTGAGTTTTCAGACTTCTAAAACTAAGCGGACTAATGTTCTACAACTTATTTTGCCTTCGAAGGAGTATGTGATGCTGCGACACCATGATTAATCTGTCTGAACTCTCCTATTGGTTCCATCCGCATGCGTCTAATTATCTCATTAATCGATTTATGGCATTGCAATTAGCATTAGTGCAAGCTGTTTGAGTTTTCTAATCTACGTATTCGGAAAGACTATGGTCCCCTTATTTAAATTTTTAAGTTTTAAGTTCATCCCATATTGTATTTATAAATTGCTTGTTTTGTGGTCTCTGAAAATAATGACAAAACAATTCGATGGATAAAAGAATGCGTAGACAACAATTCTAGAAACAATTAGCGGAAAGTAAACCAAATAAAATCCACCTGATAATATATTTGTTTTTCTGTTCCTATCTACAATTAAAATCTACATCATGCCGAAGGGTTTGAGTAAATTTCCAATTATAAATCTTCCCCAAATGTACTTAGGTAAGGAATAGTTAGCACTATAATTAGCAAAATTCATAAGACATGCAAGTAGCTTTTTAAATGCTTGTTAACATGGCAAGTGTTTACGTAATATTGCAATCAGTATTAACTCCCCGGCTATTTTTTTCTTTCGCGATTAGGTGAGGATCTTGATCGAAATCTCTTATTGGCAATCTACGATCGAATGCAGATGGGAGAGATGCTAGTTGCACCAGATCATACGGATCAAGTGCGACGAGTCTATCGTCTCCTTACTGGTCCTCTTCGGCCGACAAACCTTGTCCTACCTCACCGTCGTCTTGTTTGCTACTGTCGGCTCTATGAGGTGAGTTACTAGCTATCTTTTACAAAAGAGACAGTTCACTTTTTATGCTGAGCATGTTCATTCTTACAGATATTTTTGAAGTACTATTCTATATCCACAATTAATTCGTTGTTGCTATTTTTTGAGTTGCTTTTACGGTTTAAGAGTTTATATGCACATATATCCATCTATTTTACGCCTATTATCGACCAATAATGATGCAATTTGAGTTTCTGCGAAGATGATTTTGATTACTGTTATTGCTACTGAGTACTTATAAGTAAACATGTTTCTTTATATAGGTTCAAGACAAAACAAAGCGAGATCGCAGTGGACCACATCAACGCGATATCTTTCTTTTCAACGACCTCCTCCTGGTCACAAAGGCAATTCACAAACGACGGAAGGAGTCTTCATCCAATTCTAACTCTGGTACCTCTACAACTTATCAAGTTCGAAATGTAATCACTCTCCTGGGTATCCGAGTGACCACTTTCGAGACCCAACACTACGAAAATGGATTCTCTCTCTACCGGATAGATCAATCAAGCGCGTCTTCCCAGATTGGAGAATGCGAGGCGGAGAAAAAGAAGGGGGGAAATAAATCAAGGAATGGAAGTCAGAAAGAAGCCAGCAGTGAAGCATCCAGAGGTACTCCAATGATTAGTTTCAATGCCAAAACTCAGTCAGACAAGTTAAGACTGCTTGAGGACATTCAAGAGTGCATAATGGAGACCACTGAAATGGATCGAGTGCGATTGGATGATGTTCTCTGCAAGCAAAGCTCTTCTGTTCCCAAACGCTCCACGACAGTTGCTGAAGCTCCAGTTTCTGCGGCGAAAGTTTACAGTCTCCCCCCAGGAACTGCTGTACCAGTTGCAGTAACCGCCAAAGTCCCCACGGCTTCTCATACTCGACAGACGCGTTCTGGGGCTTGTCATTATCAATCTCAATTGAGTACTGATGGTTTGCTTTCAGCTCGTGGGGTGACCACTTGTATGCCTGGAAATTATTATGCTGGTCAGAGTCACACGTATCATGTTCCCTCATCTCAACGACCTAGGGCTTATCTCTATCAGCGACCCAGCGAGCCATCTCATTGATTAATGAGTCATCTTCCTTTCTGTATATATGTAACACTTTGCTTGAACTTTCGTCCTCTGTGATATTTCTTCTTGTAAACTACCAAAAATGTGTCTGTATCAAAATCGTTGTATGCAGGAAAAGAATTATCTCACCGTTAATTGATCATTTCCGCGTCATGTAATTCTCTACTGTTTATCTATTTCTCGCTCTTGTCCTTTTTTCCAAATAGAAACTTTAATGGTGTTTACACTTGTGTTCTAAATTTGACGGTTGAATTATATAAATTAAGTAACCCGTGATATGTGACTAGCACTGGGCTTAATGTATATAGATGCTTATTTATTTGATAGAAATCCATCAAAAAATGTAAACTCGCTGGAAATTTGATATGTAAGCCTAAAATTGTGGGGTCAAACTGAGTCCAGAACACCTATCTTAAGCCAAACATAGGCGATAACGCGACCTCTGGACCAAGCTCACGTGCAGTATAAGCAGGAATAAAGCAAGTTTGCTATAAAAAAAAAACATTCAAAATTTACGGGGGCGGCATATCGCTATTGCACAGTGGGCTCGCCATACCTGTAATGATGAGGTACTTGTGAATTCGGTACATTATGCCTCCTACTGTATTAGTGAATCAGAACCGCTAACTTGGTCGGTTCAATTGCTAGTCGTATGAGAGGGAAGTAGTGAACAAGTCCGTTCGAAGATGTGCTTTCTGTTCAGTAAATACACTAGTACATAACTAACGTATACTCTGTAAGGTATGCCCTAGCGACCTTTTTATTAATTAAAATTTATTTATATCAAATGACAAGCGTCTTGATGGTTATCATTAGCCCTTTAGTTGATTTCAGGCTTCACAAAGGGGAAAGAACATCAAATTGAAAAAAGTCGAGAGGGAGGAGGGAACAGAAGAGTGTTTCAAAGACGTAAGAGACAAACACAAAGGTAGAAAAAAGTTGAGGTGAGTACTGTGAAAATAGTCGAATATGGCATAGAGCGAGGTGATGGTAGTTTGAAGTGAGAAGTCAACTGCCAGTTAATAGACTTTTTGCCGTATGAGTATAGGTTGTCCAGGGTGCACCACGTGGAGTTATGCATACGCAAATATATTTTTTTAAATCAATCTTCTGT